CACGTTAAGAGTTTCTGCGCATGCGTACGTCTGTGTGGTTTGGTGAGGTTAGGTTTGAGGTGGTTAAGGCTTAGGTTGGGTTAGGATAGGGTTAAGTTATCTTATTCAAGGGGTTAAAGCCATCGCACTCAAGAGGCTACATCACTACTGTATATACTCATCATGCTGAAGAGGATAATTCGTATACATTACTACTGTGTCCTTGGATCAATCCTCGGCCTGGGACAAATGTGAGAAGGTAGATGGTAGATTTTCCCGCGATACTCCATGTTTTTTCCCCAGGTACTCCAGTTATTTCCCCAGGTACTCCAGTTATTTCCCCAGGTACTCCAGTTATTTCCCCAGGTACTCCAGTTTTTCCCCAGGTACTCCAGTTTTTTCCCCAGGTACTCCAGTTATTTCCCCAGGTACTCCAGTTTCCTCCCGTAATAACACTGGACAATAAAGGAACAGATCGACTGCCTGAATGGTTAATAAGATAATAAATGGTGAAATGATGAATAAACATTTCATGGTATGACATCATTTATACTTCAGGAGATAAGTCATTAATATGGAGGGATGAAGTCAATTTACTCAAGGGATTAAACCATCAAACTCAAAGATATTAAGCCATCGTATTCAAGTGGTTAAGCCATTGTATTCAAGTGGTTAAGCCATTGTATTCAAGTGGTTACGCCATCGTATTCAAGTGGTTAAGCCATTGTATTCAAGTGGTTAAGCCATTGTATTCAAGTGGTTAAGCCATTGTATTCAAGTGGTTAAGCCATTGTATTCAAGTGGTTACGCCATTGTATTCAACTCACTATCGTAATTAATATGGCCTGGGGACAACATTGAGAGAGAGAGAGAGAGAGAGAGAGAGAGAGGAGAGAGGAGAGAGAGAGGAGAGAGAGAGAGAGAGAGAGAGAGATTCACTCCTACGTTTGATAAGAAGAAAGGATGGCTGACTTTGAGCTTTAAAGGAATTACGATAGAGTTAAGATAGGCATAAAGATAGACCACCAAAAGAATGTGTAAATCAGAGAGAGAGAGAGAGAGAGAGAGAGAGAGAGAGAGAGAGAGAGGAAGAAGAAAGAAGAGATAGAGATAGGTGGATCTTCTCAAAGCCCTGGGCGATGATGAAAGGCCAGGGTGTAGCCTGCAAGAGTCCTCAAGTGCTGAAGGAGAAGAACACTTGAGTTTGGCTTGGGTAAGTCGGTGATGGGGTGAGTGTAGCGACAAGTGACGGTGCGACGTGACGGTGTGTGTGGCGGCTGTGTCCTCCCGCCAGATTTCAATGTATAGTGGAGGGTTTTTGAGAGACGATTTAAAGGAGGGGGGGGGGGTTTAAGTGACGAAATAAGGAGTTTTAGTAGACAAAGAGGATAGATTAATAGGTCATCACGTTGCTGTCTCTTGACTGTTCTTACGTGTTTTGTTGTTAAGAGGCTTATTACCTTATTTCTACCCCATGAAAGGAGGGACAAGTGGGTCTCTGTATCTTGTGGTACGTGGAGGGTAGAGGGACGAGGGATGGAGGACGGAGGGTGGAGGGTAGAGGGATGGAGGATGGAGGGACGGAGGGTAGAGGGTAGAGGGACGGAGGGATGGAGGGACGGAGGTAGAGGGTAGAGGGACGGAGGATGGAGGACGGAGGGTGGAGGGTAGAGGGACGGAGGGACGGAGGGGACGGAGGGACGGAGGGTAGAGGGTAGAGGGACGGAGGGATGGAGGGACGGAGGGTAGGGGGTAGAGGGAAGGAGGGATGGAGGGGAGGGACAAAAGGCGGGAGAGGGGGAGGGGGAGGGGGGGACAAAGGTAGGGAGAGAGGTAGGAACGTGTAGATAATTATATTCAGAGACACAAGTTTATCAGTTAGGACGGGTCAAGTCTCCCCCCACCGCACCTCAACAGACCATGAAAGGAGACGAGTATTCTCATAGGCCTGACGGCTCCTTAGGGACAGTGGTGAATACTAGCAGCGTGGTTGGTACTGCACTTGACTGCCTTCACTTCAAACTGTAAATTAGGTTCCCATTTACAGTTGGGTGGGCTGGGAGTGGCCCCACGGGATCGATCCAACGACCCTTGGGACGGGAGGCAAGCTGTGTATCCACTCAGCTGCCATAAAAGAGCCATAACTCTGTACCGTAATGACGTAACATACTGATTATTGTACACGTTTGAGAACTTATTGTTATGTTGCTCTATATTAAGTTTGGTTATATTCCATCGATCTTAGGTTAGTTTTGGTTAGGTTAGGTTGGGTTAGGTTAGGTTTGGTTACGTTAGGTTTGGTTACGTTAGGTTTGGTTAGGTTAGGTTTGGTTGGGTTAGGTTGGGTTAGGTTAGGTTGGGTTATTATGTTCACAAATCAGAGTAGGAGGTATGGTTGTATTTATATGTCCAATTATAATGAATGAAGGGGACCCAACCTTACTTATCAGTGACCTTATTTTAAGCCCTCTCATTCTTTCTCTCTCACTCCTTCTCTCTATCTCTCACTTTCTCTCTCTCTTTCTCTCTCTCTTTTTACCCCTCTCTCTTTCTCTCTCTTTATCTCTCTCTCTTTCCCCCACACACTCTCTCTCTTAACGTCATTATCATTCCTTCAGTGAGTTCCTTCTAGTAAAAACATTCCACCGGGTTTGTCTAGCGAAGGTCTTGTCTCCCAGATGGACATTCTTGTTGTCCTCTTGTGAGTAATCATCATTTAGCGTCAGTTTCTTCTCCTCTCGGGTTTTTTCTCTTTACGTCGCCTTCCCATCTCCACGTTGTATATCTTCCTGTGTTTATTATCCTCTTCCTTGTTGCTTTGTCTACGTTCTTAGTTCTTTGTGTTGAATGTTTCTTGTATCGACTCCACGCTGTGTGTTTTTGTATTGGAGGAGAAGCGACAACAGGCGTGGTGTTGTGTGGTGGTAGTGATGGAGTGGTGGTGGTGAGGTGCGGTGGTGGTGTTGTGTGGTGGTGGTGTTGTGTGGTGGTGGTGGTGGTTATGGTGGTGAGGTGTGGTGTGGGCTGGTGGTGGTGGTGAGGTGTGGTGTTTCTTCTTGCTGGACGTTGAGGAAGTGAGAGGTGATATATGCAGCGTCATGCTTTACCAGTTTAGTGTCTCTCTCTCTCTCTCTCTCTCTCTCTCTCTCTCTCTCTCTCATGGTCAACGCACTAACTCAATCCAATACAGGCGTTGCCATAAAAAAAAAAGTTCATAAATGGCTTTACCTCAAAGAGACTTACCATACACGAGACAACCTGACCAATTATTAATAACAACAGCTTACCATCCCCCCCACACAGGGACTACCTACCACACGCCGACTTTAACAGACTTATACCACATCACCCAACCTATATCACAGAGGGCCTCGACCATATACTGTAGGTACGGTTCATATTGTTGTTTGATGTACATTCCCGACACTGACGATAGCGGTGATGTGGTCTCTCTCTTCACTCACACAGTTACCTCCTACAGTTGTCATTATAACATTGAGTGGGTCACCAGCTCTTTCCTGGAGCTTGGTGTTCCTCTGTTGATGGTCTGAGGCTTTCTTTTGTTACCTTTTTAAGACTGTTGAGCTGTTGTTGAACTTTTGTTAAGCTGTTGTTGTTAGCTGTTGTAGGATGTTGTTATTGGACTATTGTCAGGGGGGTTGCTGTTGAGCCATTGTTACGCTGTTGTTGTTGAGCCGTTATAGGATGTTGCTTAACTATTGCTAAACTTGTTGAGCTGTTAGGGTAGTGTGATCAGTCTGGCTGGAAGTAAACAAGACTCCAGCGAAACATGTTAAAGTCTCGGGAAACAGATCAACACTACCTTAAAACCATCTATCTTTCCCTGATATTACTGCGTCTTGCATCCAACGACCCAGTGATTCTTCCTGACGCTGTAGATCTTCCCCTTCTGTAGTGGCAGATAGTGACACTCAGTAGGCTACGACCACGTCTATCAAACAAGACGCTGAGCTTCCTCTTAGACGGGGTTCATGATCAACAGGTCTTCCTCGTACATGATCTTATGTCCCGTTCAGATTCACAGAGATTTAGTGATGTCTCTTTTGTAGCCGCGTGTCATTTGTCTCTGTGAGGTGTTGTGTGGTGCAGGTTTTGTCGTCAGGAGACCTTGGTGTATTGGTTGAGATTTTCTGTCTGGTGGCTGACGGGTGGGTGTTGGGTGGTTGTTGGGTGGCTGTCGGGTGGCTGTTGGATGGCTGTCGGTAACTGTAGGGTGGCTATCTGGTGGCTGTTGGGGGGCTGTTGGGTGGCTATAGGGTGGCTGTCAGATGGCTGTTGGTGGCTGTCGGGTGGATATCTGGTGGCTGTTGGGTGGCTATCGGGTGGCTTTCGGGTGGCTGTTGGGTGTGGTGCACTCTCTCTGCTCTACGATGACCGAATGATCTCTTAGGACTTGAGATGAGGCGGCAGGAGACCTCTCTAGTGTGATCGAGCTCTGGGGAGGAAGAAGCTGACCCACCTGCTGCTCTCCGCCGTCGCTGCTCTGCCGGACACAACACAGCCTACGACGGGAGGATATTGTGACAGGTGGCAAGGCGTGCAGTTCGTCCTCTCTCTCTCTCTCTCTCTCTCTCTCTCTCTCTCTCTTCTCTCACATTCTCTCTTCTGTCTCTCTCTCTCTCGTGTGTGTGTGTGCGTGTGTGTGTGTGTGTGTGTGTGTGTGTGCGTGTGTGTGTGCGTGTGTGTCCCTGTCTCTGTCTTTCTCTGTCTGTCTGTCTTTCTCTCTTTAAGACACAAATTATTCAATGAATCATTCGCCCCGCTCAACCATCTCTCGGAAGCACAATAGAGAGAGGTATACTGTATGGTGATTTCGTAAGCAAATGGTAGGTAGGTAGGTAGGTAGGTAGGTAGGTAGGTAGGTAGGTAGGTAGGTAGGTAGGTAGTACGTCTGTAGATACCTAGTTCGGTAGAAAAGTAGTTAGATAGGTCGGTAGACTGATAGGAGGTTAGGTAGGTAAGTAGGCACAGGAAGGTAGAAGGATGCCAGTAGGTGCTGCCCTCTGGAGGCCCACGGTCGACGCCTCAGTTACGCTCTGACTCTCGTGAGATCAACACGTGCCGCTCCGAATTGTCGTCTCTCTCTAATATCTCGACCCTGGTACTGGTGATCCATGAAATAATACTCCCCGTGAAATAGACCCACATCGGACTCTTGTGAAATATATTCCAGATTCGTATTTTCTCTCGTTATATTGAAAGAGATTTGTGGTTATTGATATATTTATTAGTATTTTTGTCATCCAGCAATCAAACTGTGAGCTGTCTTTAACATAGAAGTGATCTATTTTTGCTGTGATTTTGTGCATAAATAATTCTTTTTTTGAGAGAGAGAGATAGAGAGAGAGAGAGATAAATTTTTCTCGGTGGTTTGAATTAAAGACTATCTTTAATTTCACCAGCGTAGAGTACGATCTTTAATCATGTGAAATATGACCTATCTCCCTCTCTCTCTCTCTCTCTCTGAAACATCTGTATCTCAGTTATTTTTTGTGAGTTATCTCTAAAAAAATATCACCGCGGGAGAGCAAATTGTGAACTATCTCTACTTGAAAACAAATAACTGTAGAAATCATCGTCTTTGTGGGTTGTAACATGATCATTGAAACTGATTTTAACTTGGATTTTGTGAGCTAACTCTAAACTGAGTATTGTTAAGTGTAAGGTAGGTTCTATCTCTAAAATATCCCAGATGGTGAAGCGAATATGTGAGCTATCTCTCCTTGAAACAGATTGTATTCAGATTTTGTGAGCTAGATCTTAGAGTGACCTTACTCCCACACAGTCTCGGGCAAAAACCCCTTGTTAGAGCAAATTGTGAGATATCTCTAAGTTGAGTCTTTCTTGCCATGTTATTGTCAATGATGCTGTGAGCTATAGTAGATGCTGTGAGCTATAGTAGATGCTGTGAGCTATAATAGATGCTGTGAGCTATAATAGATGCTGTGAGCTATAGTAGATGCTGTGAGCTATAATAGATGCTGTGAGCTATAATAGATGCTGTGAGCTATAGTAGATGCTGTGAGCTATAGTAGATGCTGTGAGCTATAATAGATGCTGTGAGCTATAATAGATGCTGTGAGCCATAGTAGATGCTGTGAGCTATAATAGATGCTGTGAGCTATAATAGATGCTGTGAGCTATAGTAGATGCTGTGAGCTATAGTAGATGCTGTGAGCTATAGTAGATGCTGTGAGCTATAGTAGATGCTGTGAGCTATAGTAGATGCTGTGAGCTATAATAGAGACTGTAAGCTATACTAGAGACTGTGAGCTATAATAGAGACTGTAAGCTATATTAGATGCTGTGAGTTATAATAGATGAAGTAAGCTATAATAGAGGCTGTAAGCTATAGTAGATGCTGTGAGTTATAATAGATGCAGTAAGCTATAATAGAGGCTGTAAGCTATAATAGATGCTGTGAGCTATAATAGAGACTGTAAGCTATATTAGATGCTGTGAGTTATAATAGATGCTGTGAGTTATAATAGATGCAGTAAGCTATAATAGAGGCTGTAAGCTATAGTAGATGCTGTGAGATATAATAGAGACTGTAAGCTATAGTAGATGCTGTGAGCTATATTAGATGCTGTGAGCTATAATAGATGCTGTGAGCTATAGTAGATGCTGTGAGCTATAGTAGATGCTGTGAGCTATTGTAGATGCTGTGAGCTATAGTAGATGCTGTGAGCTATAGTAGATGCTGTGAGCTATAATAGAGACTGTAAGCTATACTAGAGACTGTGAGCTATAATAGAGACTGTAAGCTATATTAGATGCTGTGAGTTATAATAGATGCAGTAAGCTATAATAGAGGCTGTAAGCTATAGTAGATGCTGTGAGTTATAATAGATGCAGTAAGCTATAATAGAGGCTGTAAGCTATAATAGATGCTGTGAGATATAATAGAGACTGTAAGCTATAATAGAGGCTGTAAGCTATAATAGATGCTGTGAGCTACACTAGAGACTGTAAGCTATAATAGAGGCTGTGAGTTATAATAGAGGCTGTGAGCTACAATAGAGACTGTAAGCTATAATAGAGGCTGTGAGTTATAATAGAGGCTGTAAGCTATAGTAGATGCTGTGAGCTATAATAGAGACTGTAAGCTATATTAGATGCTGTGAGTTATAATAGATGCAGTAAGCTATAATAGAGACTGTAAGCTATAATAGATGCTGTGAGCTACAATAGAGACTGTAAGCTATAATAGAGGCTGTAAGCTATAATAGATGCTGTGAGCTACAATAGAGACTGTAAGCTATAATAGAGGCTGTAAGCTATAATAGATGCTGTGAGCTACAATAGAGACTGTAAGCTATAATAGAGGCTGTGAGTTATAATAGAGGCTGTAAGCTATAATAGATGCTGTGAGCTACAATAGAGACTGTAAGCTATAATAGATGCTGTGAGTTATAATAGAGACTGTAAGCTATAATAGATGCTGTGAGCTACAATAGAGACTGTAAGCTATAATAGAGGCTGTGAGTTATAATAGATGCAGTAAGCTATAATAGAGACTGTAAGCTATAATAGATGCTGTGAGCTACAATAGAGACTGTAAGCTATAATAGAGGCTGTGAGTTATAATAGAGACTGTAAGCTATAATAGATGCTGTGAGCTACAATAGAGACTGTAAGCTATAATAGATGCTGTGAGCTACAATAGAGACTGTAAGCTATAATAGATGCTGTGAGCTACAATAGAGACTGTAAGCTATAATAGAGGCTGTGAGTTATAATAGATGCAGTAAGCTATAATAGAGACTGTAAGCTATAGTAGATGCTGTGAGCTATAATAGAGACTGTAAGCTATATTAGATGCTGTGAGTTATAATAGATGCAGTAAGCTATAATAGAGACTGTAAGCTATAATAGATGCTGTGAGCTACAATAGAGACTGTAAGCTATAATAGATGCTGTGAGTTATAATAGAGACTGTAAGCTATAATAGATGCAGTAAGCTATAATAGAGACTGTAAGCTATAATAGATGCTGTGAGCTACAATAGAGACTGTAAGCTATAATAGATGCTGTGAGTTATAATAGAGACTGTAAGCTATAATAGAGGCTGTGAGTTATAATAGATGCAGTAAGCTATAATAGAGACTGTAAGCTATAATAGATGCTGTGAGCTATAATAGAGACTGTAAGCTATAATAGATGCTGTGAGCTATAATAGAGACTGTAAGCTATAACAGATGTTGTAAGCTATAATAGATGCTGTGAGCTATAATAGAGACTGTAAGCTATAATAGAGACTGTGAGTTATAGTAGAGACTGTAAGCTATAATAGATGCTGTGAGCTATAATATCTCTATCCTTAAACTAATAATAATAATAATAATAATAATAATAATAATAATAATAATAATAATAATAAGAATAATAATAATAATAATAATAATAATAATAATAATAATAAGAAGAAGAATAAACGCCTTAACGTACTTGAAAAATTAAGACTAAAAAACGGATGAAAATTTTGTCACTGAGGAAATGAAATGTGTTTTGTCTGTTTCCCCTGAATATTTTGATTACGAGAGAGAGAGAGAGAGAGAGAGAGAGAGAGAGAGAGAGAGAGAGAGATAACTCATTTGATAAATCTTTATATTAATTTTGGAATTAATAATAAAAAGTATTTCGGTAAATTTGAGAAAGTATAGAATAATTCCAATAAAAATAATGTGAAAATAACACAGAATTATCGTAAAATGTAATTGAAAAAATATAAAAATAAATAAAGTTGGAACAATAAATATATTTGTAAATTTTTCTTAAGTATAGTTAAATATCACACTGGAGTAGATTTTATAGACGATAATTAAAGAATAAATTTACTCTATATATTAAATTAGAATAAATGACTTGAAGCCGACTGTTACTTAGCTGTGTAAGGCAAAGAAGCATACAACTCTCTGTCTCTCTCTCTATCTCTCTCTGTCGCTCACTCTTTCTATCTCACTAATTGTCATTCTCTCTAGCGATGAATTTCTTTTTAAATCTCACTAATTCTCTATCTCCTTTTCTCTTTATTTTTAGCTCCTTATCTCTCTCTCTCGTCTCTCTGTCTCTCTCTCTCTCAACTATTGCACCTTCCAGCCCCCGTCTCGTTAAATCACCTCAAACTAACAAGCTCACAAGAACGTAATTAGCAATGCCGGTAACGCAACTAGAAACCATTAACAAATCTCTTCAACTTTGTTTTTTAACTGGTTTTCTACCTTAAGTTAAAAGCTAAATCACTATTAAACGTCATTAACACCACGTAATTAGAGAACCATTTAATTTGTGTGTTAATACCCCCCTCCCCTCCTCCCCCCTCCCCCCCTCCTTCCCTTTATTTGTAACGTTGAAATATATTACTTACTGGACATGTGGACAAGGGGGCAAGGGGACAAGGGGATTTATTTCTCAAGAGACCTATGGTGAGATGAAGGAAAAAAAGGAATTAAATTTGTCTCTCTTTTTTTTGAGATGGTGAAGAGGAGGAAATGAGAGATTAAAGACTATGTTTGTCGTCTCTCGTGATAGTGAAGAAGAGGAATAAACTAGAGAGTGAAGATTGGGAAAGTGAAGAAGACGAAGAAGAGGAGGAGGAGGGAAGGATGATTTAGAGACAGTTTCCCTCCTTATGATGGATGAAGATATTTAAAGGAAAATCATGTGATGGTGAGAGAAAGTGATAGTGATATATAGAACTACTACTACTACTACTACTACTAATACTAATACTTTTTTTTTCAAAGTGGCCTCCTGCCTCCCCCAATAGCCACACCTTCGCCGCCATTTTATTACCTTAAAATTAACTATGCTAATACATAAGTAGCTACCCTGGCTGTGTTGAGTTAGTTACTGCTACTACTACTACTACTACTACTACTACTACTAATACCACAACTACGAGAGGTTAACACACACACACACACGGGCATAAACATTGGAAAAGGTCATCACAGTGATCTGACTCGTGAAACAACCTGAGGCACTGAAGTTAAAAGGTGGTATTTGGACCAGTTTAACTATTGGTTGAGCCACGTCAGCCGCCAGCACTGGACGTTTCTGCTGTCAGCCAAAACACTGCCTCTGACGCTCCGCCACTAAGGTAATGTACTGAGCCCTGGGGATGTAAAACTGTTGCTGACTTGACTGTTACTGTAAGACTGTTGCTTATTTAACTGGGGGTGTAAGACTGCTGCTGACTTAACTGAGGTGTAAGACTGAACTGAACTGGGGGTGTAAGACTGTACTTAACTGGGGGTGTAAGACTGTACTTAACTGGGGGTGTAAGACTGTACTTAACTGGGGGTGTAAGACTGTACTTAACTGGGGGTGTAAAACTGTACTTAACTGGGGGTGTAAGACTGTACTTATTCCCCCACAAAGTACCTTGGCTGTATAGATAGAATTTCCCCCAAAGGAACATCTGTGGCTCGTCTCTTGGCGGGTGTGGCTCCTGGGTCAAGAGTTCAGCATCTGTCCTGTTGTAACACTCCTAGAATGACTTGTGACTTACACCTTGTTTTGGCGAGCAATAGAACCAAAATAATTGTGATTGAATACGGAATATTTTGATTGGCTCTACGCTGACACATTTCGGCGAGGGTAAAAAAAAAACGAAATGAGTTTGACGGGAGAACCAATATCATTTCGACTGATAGTGAAAAAGTCAATATATCGCTGGAAGTGTTTTGATTCGAGTCAAAGTGTTTTTGATTGCTTTCTATAAATACAAAGATCAGTTGGGCTTATGTCATATGTTCAGGGATATGTACCGGGAGTTGCTTCATGTCCTGAGGCAAGAGTTCACCCAGTACCTTCCTGTCAATGGGGGAAGAGAGAGACTGGTAGCGGCGAGACTCTTCCCTGGACCTGACGCGGCTCCAGACCCAGAGTAGAAGTAGTTTTTAGACCTGGGAAATGACTCGAGAGCGAAGGACGTCCTCAAGAAACGCTCCTTGCAAGAATTCTGTTCCCAAGTCAGTGATTTATGATCCTTGTATTGGAGAACTTGTCCCACAACCTTGAGCTCTACGTCTGTGAGAGATTGCCTACACTCGTGCAAATTAAAACGAAGGCAAGGAATAGCCAGAGAGTTAAAAGTTATATGTCCTGCGCTCTCTCCAGCCCTCGAACACACACACACACACACACACACACACACACACACACACACACACATGCACACACACACACACACACGCACCGGAAACTACTCTCTAAAATGGCTCTTTTCTATGTCGTAAATATGGAACGCAATAATACAAGTAACTCTCCTACAGTCTCAGTGCTATATCGCGGCCATATTGTAACATAATCTAAGAGAAGCCAATTAAATGCCTTTTCCATACCACCAGTTAGAAGGAAAATAAACGAACGTATGCCTGGGAATTAAATCCTTATAGGTGGAGAGGTGAGTTAAATTATGTAGAGTCTGTGTGCAAATTCTCCGCCATTTTGTGTGTGTGTGGAGGAGGCTGGTCAGTGGGCAGGACAAGACTGCATTATTAAGTGTGACATTTGAAACCAACGGTGGAGACCTGTGTGTCTCTACCACACTGATACTCTGCCACACTTCTACCACACTGATACTCTGCCACACTTCTACCACACTGATACTCTGCCACACTGATACTCTGCCACACTACCACACTGATACTCTGCCACACTACCACTCTGATACTCTGCCACACTACCATACTGACGGTCGACGACACTGATATTTTGCCACACGACCACACCGACACTCTCTACTACACTACTACCACATTGCCACACTGATACTCTGCCACACTACCACATGCCACACTGACGCTCTATGCCACACTACTACCACACCGCCACATTGACACGCTGCTACCACATTGCCACACCATCACAATGCCACATTACTACACCCCCCAAAACACCACCACACTTCCCCACAACCACACCATCACAGCTCCAGATATTGCCACACCATCACAACACCACACCACCACTACCACACCACACCACACTACACCGCAGTACACACACCACACCACACTACACCACACTACACACACCACACCACACCACACCACACGCACCACACCACACCACACACCACACCACACACACCACACCACACACACCACACCACACACAGCACAACCACACACACCACACCACACACACCACACACCACACACACCACACACACCGCACCACACACCACACCACACCACGCACACCACACCACACCACACACACCACACCACACACACCACACTACACACACCACACCACACACACACACACACACCACACCACACACACCACACACACACCACACACACCACACCACACACACCACACACACACACACACCACACCACACACACCACACACACCACACCACACCACACCACACACCAACACCACACAATAACCACACCACACACACCAACCACACCACACCACACACCACACCACACACACCACACCACACACACCACACACACCACACACCACACACCACACACACCACACACACCACACCACACACACCACACACCACACCACACCACACACCACACTACACACAACACCACACCACCACTACCACACCACACCACACTACACCGCAGTACACACACCACACCACACTACACCACACTACACACACCACACCACACCACACCACTATTATATTAATGACCCCTTAACTTATACATATACACATAAACAAAACAAAAACTAATATTATTTTCATTTCATTTCGACTTTTTCTTTATTTACTTCAATTCATTTTCTTTTTTTCTTCCTTTTTTTGTTGTTGTTGCCTTGTTGGGTAGATTGGGAGTCCATTTTTCCACTGATAGTTTTGTCAGGCGTAAATTGCCCGTTGAAGAGTAAACGGTTTCCTGCGAGAGTTTAGAAAAAAAAATATTTGTACTGTTGTATTTTTTAGTGTTTTTTTTTTCTATTCACGATAACGAAATCAATCGCCGATGGTTCTAAAAAAACACAAACATCAATTTGGTTGTTGATATTGGTGATGATAATGAGAGTATTGGTTGTATGTCTGGTTACACTGATACGGTGTCACATTACTGCTTGGCTATACTGACAGACGGTTACACTGCTACTTTATTATTATTATTATTATTATTATTATTATTAGTAGTAGTAGTAGTAGTAGTAGTAGTAGTAGTAGTAGTAGTAGTAGTCGTAGTAGTAGTAATGGTAGTAATAATATTATGTAACCCGGTATTAACACTAACACTGTTGATATTAGCATTAGCTTTAGTTACGGTTTGCATAAATTAGGTCATATCATTATTAAAGCTATTGTCAATTGCCTTAAGTTTATGGTTGACCTGACATCACGACCTTACCTGACCTTATGTGACCCAGCAAAACTGTAATACAATACCTAACTACATTAAATACAGTAATAATATCAACAATTCAAATTACAAATAAGAAAAAAAATACAGCAAGAGACGAGGAAAGAGACGAGAGGGATTTTCCATATTGTGAGGTGAATTTTGTATTGTGGACGTGATCTCTTAGTTGTGTATAGTCTAAGCGTATTGTTGGTCTTGTTACATCTAGGTACAAATACACACACACCTGTTTGTAGAGAATTACTGGTGTTATTTACTTCACCAGCACAACCATCGGACCACTATTGGCAATACTGTAACCTGGTGTTGGCTTTGTTCACCTGTCCTTGGTCGAGTCCACTTACTTTTTACCATTTTTTTGTATACCTGTCCTGTCTATGTATGTTTTTTTGTATACCTGTACTATCTATGTATGGTTTTTTGTATACCTGTACTGTCTACTGTATGTTCTAGTCGGGGTCAAAAGTCTGGAACACTTAGCAATATCTGGCATCTACTTCAGAGTTATAAATATATGATTGGGATATACTAATAACACTACTTGTCATCACATATATTATGCCTGAACCACAAAATGGGATAAAACTCTTCTTAATATACCCAAGATCTTCGGGTACTTACATGCTAAATACTGTCAATTGTTCAAGACTTTTGACCCCTACTGTATGTTGCTTTTATATCCCAACACCCCTCTGTACTGTGTATCTCCTATGTACCGTCGTCTGTATGTCCTTCTATGTACCGGCGTCTGTATCTCCTTCTATGTACCGGCGTCTGTATGTCCTTCTATGTACCGGCGTCTGTACCTCCTTCTATGTACCGGCGTCTGTATCTCCTTCTATGTACCGGCGTCTATATCTCCTTCTATATACCGGCGTCTGTGCTCAGAGTATAACCTTGATTGTTTTCTTGTTTGTGTTACTTGTTGTCACCTGTTGATAAAATACTGAACTGTCTATATCATTAATCAATAAGAGAACAAGGAAAGGAATATTAAGCCAATAACAAGACAGCTACCGGGGCCAGGGAGGATTGACGTCATAATGTAGGCGTGGCACATAGAGAAACAGATGGGTAGTTATACGTGTTTCAATAGAATGTTACTGTTGAAGGCCGAGGCATCAACCCACTCGTATTTGTCGCTGTTCTTATTGGCTGAACGACCTCAGTCTAAGTTCTTATTGGCTCAATGAGCGGATAGTTTAATAATTGGGTAAGAGACGGGAGAGACCTGCTCTTGGGGTGTTGAGAACAGTTGTTACGTTCATAAGTGGTTCTTTCCTGCGTATCATAATAACTTTACTTCTTTCATTTCTTAAAACATCAAAATGAAAACTGCATTCTTTAAACATAACTCCACAATGAATTAAATAAATAACACCTCTTTTATTACTATTAAAAACCGGAATGAAGTTTCTATCATCTTATCACTGAAGCGATTATCACTTCCTTCATCAGTACGTAGATAAATTGATATCACTCACGACGCTAAGGTGAGGATTTTCCGACCTACAACATGACGGCGTGAACAAGGGGTGACGGCAGAAGAAACAAATGACATTCTGGTATACGACAGCACATGACATTAGGTAGATGAATTATATACGTAATGTGTGTGTGGGTGTGGGTGTGTGTACAGGAGACGTTAATAGTGTGTGTATGTGTGTACAGGTGATTATAATAGTGTGTGTACAGTATGTGTGTGTGTGTGTGTGTACAGATGTCAATATTG